TACTTTTTTATTTGTTATACATTTTAATGGCATAGTATACATAAGGGGTCAAGATCTGAATCAACAAACCTGAAGTTTGAAAGATTAAACCATAGACAAAATACTCTGTCTCTCCTCCCATACTCCCCTTCACTTCTATTTTTACTTACTAATCTATCTAACTGATATGCATGGTTTTTTTTAAAAAAAAATATTTATTTATTTTTGTCAATTGCTTACAAGATAATAGGTATAAGTAAAAACGTAGTTATGAATACATGGATACATATAAGAAAAATAAAAAATAAAAGAAACAATAGGACAGGGACGGTAGGCACATTGGTGCGCTTATGCACGCCCCCTACAGACTTCTTAGGAAAGGGGTAAGGTCAATAGTAGACAGTCTAAGGTTAAAGTTTTTGGCTTGGTCAACATAATAGAAAAACATATAGAAAATACAACAAACAATTCTGGCAGTTTTCTCTTATTTTTTACTTTGAACTTTGACTTCTGATTTAGACAATTGTCTAATGACTAAGTGCATTGTTAACAGAGAACTGGAGGGGCTGATTACATCAGTTAGAACTAATTTGATAAATAAGGCATCTTGCATTAACTTATTGTAGCTCATCTCCAAATCTTTCTTTAAAAAATATTTGAATTGATTGATATATTTTATATAAAGTTATGCAATGAAAACAACAAATTACAATATTTACATATGTCTTCTTAGAATGGTAATGATATTTATCTCCAAATATTCGACTCCAGCTATCATTCACCCTTACATCAATATCTGTCCCAAAATGATGTAAGACCAAATGCTATCAGCTGTTTTCAGTTTAAATGGTTTTCATTCCTTTAGGATCATATCAGCTATTAGCAAATCTCTGAGTTGTTTCAAGTTTCAAAATGCAATCATCCTACAGAATTGAAAATGTAATCATTTGTATGTGTCTCAGTGCTTTTCATTTGAGGATTGGCAATGAAGTAATGTAGCAATAAAAACTTGGGGGTTATTGCAAACATTTACTTTTCTTCCTCATAGCTGAAGTAGAAAATGCCTATCATTTTTATGTTATTTTATCAGACTTACGAATGCAAAATTATATTTTAATTTCCCTTATTGGTATGTTGCTTTTCTTTTCTACAACAGAAGCTATTCAGAGTTGCCAGCTAAATACGAAAATCATCATTCAGTTCAGATAACATTATTGCATTACTAAAACAAAATTACCAGATTTAAAATAGGATCACAAATGAGTGTGTGTGTATCTCTATACAAAGTCTAGTTTGGAAGGAAGATGACCTTGATGGAGATATGCAGGAGCTATTCCCTAGGCAAAACGGCTGAAACATGTTTGAAGTTCTATTTCTGGGTTACTTTATGAAAATTAAGAACTTTACTTTTAGATAGTTGCTTTTAAGAGCTACAATAAGGGTTTGCAAATCCATAAGAATGTACTATTAATAATAAAGAGAACAACTTGTATAATTTTATGACTGGCAAAGTTGCTGTACAAATTAGGGTTAATTTACACTTGAAGTATTTTTTTTTTAAGGCAGTGTTAAATGTTTATTGTTTGTAGCACATAGACATGTGTGTGGGCTTGTTAGTGTGTCTGAGGGGGCTCTATAATTTCAAAAATTTGAATCAAGTGACTCATTCTGCTGCCTGCTAATCAAAGATGATGTGCATCATGTCCCTGAATGTAGCCACATGCCTTAAATGACGGCTCTGTGGGCTTTAAACATGGAGCTATCCAATTACTCCTGCCAACATGTTGTGCATTAAAAACTGCTAGAGGGAAAATTTAGACGGTCCTTAACAAAATATGTGCTCAGGCAATGAGATAAATACTAATAGTACGTTGTTTGGACAATAAATGTTTTGAAGGGTTTTGCTTCTTTTTGGGGTGTATGATGGAAAAGTAAGCATAAGGAATCAGGGGAATGAACTGAACTGTCCAGCTGCTTAAAGTAAGCCCAAGGGAACGGGCTTAGTATAGCAATCACAGCAATATAGATAATCATAGAGCTGGCTCTACATTTTGCAGCCATATTGATATAGCTAATTCATTTTGAACAGGAAGTGAATTATTAATGATTAATTGTTCTTCAGTTTGGCAGCTGATTCATAAGCAACTTGGCATGCAAGAGATTGTATGATTAGCATTCCTTCCTTCCTTATTTCTTTCCTTTCTTTTTATGTTGGTTTAGGGTTCTTTCCGGGGGTGGAATTCAATTTTTTTAACAACCGGTTCTGTGGGCATGGTTGAGTTGGTGGTCTTGGCTTGGTGGACTCACATTGAGGCACCATCTCCTCACCTGGCCTCTCATGACTGTGGGAATGCTGCACAGTCGTAAGTGTGAAAAATGGTCATAAGTCACTTTTTTCGGTGCCATTGTAACTTTGAATAGTCACGTCACACAAGCAAAGTACCAGCAAAGGAGGAAAAAAAAAACCTCCAGAGTTGTTCCTGAGAGAGGAAGTCTAGTCCTGCCAAGAATGTAATAAGGGTTAACGGAGAGGCAGTTTCTGTAAGCAACACCAGAATGTTTCCTTCCTGCCTTCCTTACATGATTAGGCCAGTAATTTCTTCTAACAACCGGTTCTCTGAACTGCTTAGAATGTTAACAACTGGTTCTAGTGAATAGGTGTGAATTGGTAGAATCCCACCCCTGGTTCTTTCCCCTTTTCACTTACCAACATAAGATGCTGAGATGACTTTCTCAAATATCTGTTCTTTTGTCAATCATTTTGAATGCAATTTCATCATTAAAGTTATAAAGTTCTCATATTTATATCTGAAACTGAGCAGGTAAGCATTTATAATTAAAACATTTATTTATTTATTTAAATAAGCACACAGATATGTTTTCATATACCTAAATATTGCAAAGGTCTTAATTAACATGCCAGTGATTAGGAATGAGATAAAAATAGACCCAGGGATGGAGAATTGGGGTTGGAAAAACATCTTTTCTTGTTTGAGTAATTACTGAGAGAGAATGACTTGTAAATTCAAAGGAAAATTAGGAAGTAATTCTGGTTGACATATGACAGAGAGAACAAGAGCAAGAGATATTGATTTAGACAATGTTGAACTGAAGAAGGTATTATTTATGCTGGTTTTATTCAACAGTGTTAGGAATGTAAGTCACCTAACAGTTATCTGGGTTGGAAATATATAAACCAGGATAGACATTTTAATACTATGTCTTTAAGAAAATGCTAAAACTGTAATTGGGTGTGGTTTCTCAAATGGCCATAAGATGGAACCAGAAACCTGGGTTGTTTAGTCTCAGAAGAGTCTCAGTGAGTCTCTGTTTCTTCTGTTGGTGAGAGATGCCATTACTCCAAAATGACTGTTACTGATCGTTGACGTAAGTCTGTTACTTAACTGTTTTTTGATACTGGACTTTGACATTTGGATTATCCCTGAACTGAACACTGACCGCCTTGTCTGTGAATGACTTGAATGCTTATCTTGGACTGTGCTTAAACGTTTTATTGGAAGTAAAAACCTACATTTACTGTACAGTGTATCTGTGTGCTGTTTGTGTATTATTCTTTACTACTCTCATTACGTCTCCCGGTATGCGCTCATTCTCCTAACGAGGAATTACCTCAACAAACAGTATGAAAAAATTAAAAAAAAATAATCAAAAGGAATTTTCCTATTATGTGGTATAGAGCCAGTTTAATGGTTAAGGCACTAGGATAGAATCTGGTTCTAAGTTCTAATTCCTATTTAGTCATGAAAGCTAGCAGGGTAATTTTGGGCCACTCACTATTTCAGTCCAACTTATTTCAAAGGGTTGTTGTGGAGAAAATAGGACGAGGAAGGAGTATTATGTAATATTATGGGATTAAGAAAATCCTAAAAAGCAAAACTACCAACCCCTCCAATCCTTACCCAATCCTCATATTATTTATATGATGCCTGATGACTTGGATTTGCTTCAGCAACAAGTCTCCCTTTAAAACAGGGAACACTGCACATTGCACATCACACAAGAAGCATGAATTCTTAAAAGTGAAGCAGAGGATTTGTGGGACATTTGCCACAAAACTACATTTTCAATTCAAGCTTTTTTTATTTTTTTAATTTTAAAAGAAAAACTTTATTAGCGATTAAAAAAGAAAAACACTACGTACAGTACATCGAATACAACTTAACGTTGTAGACAAAATCTATATATACAAATACAAAATAAAGTAATATATAAAACATATAAAACATATGTTTCTAATCAACTAAGATGGTGTGCTTTTTCTTGATAATGATTTTACTACTATTCATTTCTTATTTAGTAAACATTCTTAATTTAACTACTCCATTCGTCAAATACATATCTTTAAATTCCTGGTTTTTTCTCTTTAATTCACTTATACCATTTATCCCAAGCTGCAATATATCTTGAGTCTTCCTTATTTCTAAGTTTTTGTGTAAGTAGGTCCATTTCAGCACAGTCAAGTATTTTCTGAGCAATCAAATTATTTGTTGGCATTTGTTTGCCCTTCCAACATTGTGCCAACACAATTCTTGCTGCTGTGATTATATGGAGAATTAAATATTTTATTTCATTTGTATAGTCCCTTTTTAACATTCCCAACAAAAATATTTCAGGTTTGAATTCTAATTGAGTACTTGTAATTTCTTTTATCCACAGTCTAATTTTTTTCCAATATTTTTTACTTTTTGGGCAGAGTCACCAAGTGTGGAAGAAGCTGTTCCTTATTTGCTTACATTTTCAACACATCGGACTCATGTTTGGATAAATGTTGGCTAACCTTGAGGGTGATAGATACCACTGGTAACACATTTTATATTGGTTTTCTTTATAGATCACCAATTTTATTATTTTGTAATTTTGTTTCCAAATTTTTCCCAATCTTCCAAATTAATATTGTGCCCTACGTTCTTTGCCCATGTGATCATTGGGCCTTTAACTATTTCTTCCACCATTTCATATTCTAACAGGTAGTTATACATTTTTGAGATTAATTTTTCATCTGCTCCCTCCAATATTTTATCTAATTGATTTGGTTTTATCTCAATTCCAAACTCTTCCATGTCTTTTTTATATCTTGCCTTGAGTTGTAAATATGGCCACCACTCTATTTTCATCCCTTGCTCTCTAATTTCTTGATTCATCATTAATCTTCCTTGGGAATTTAGTACATTATAATATGTAATTTTTCTTCCAGTTTCTAGTGCGTTGGGGTGGATCAATGCCTCTATGACGGAAACCCATCCTGGGATCTTCATATAATGTTTGTGTTTAATTTCTTTCCACACCTTTAATAGTGAACATCTAATTATATGCCTATTAAAGTGTGTGTAGCTTTTATTTCTTGGGTTCCACATGAAGGCATGCCACCCTGCTTCCAAATCATGCCCTTCTGGAATTAAGATTCTTTTATTTCTCAAATTGGCCCAATCCTTAATCCATGTTAAAGTTGCCGCTTTATAGTATAGTTCCAAGGCGGGGAGCCCAAATCCACCTCTGAATCTATTATCTTGTAAGTAGCTTAATTTTATTCTAGGCTTTTTCCCTGACCAAATAAATTTCCTAGTAATTTTATTTAATTTGTTATTTTTTTTATCTAATTTAATTGGAATATTTTGAAAGAGGAATACTATTCTTGGCAAGATGTTCATCTTAATAGTCGCTATTCTTCCTAGCATTGATAATTGGAATTTTCCCCATTTATCTAAGTCTTTTTTATTTCTCATACCAATTTTACATAATTATCTTCTTTTATTGTTGAACATCTTGCCGTGAGCCAAATTCCTAAATATTTAATTCTTTTTACAATTTGTAAGTCCATTACCTCTTCTAATTTCTTTTTATGTTTTTCTGTTATATTTTTTGTTATCATTTTAGTTTTATCCTTATTGATTGTTAACCCTGCCACCTCTCCATATCTCTCAATCTCTTTAATTAATTTTGGTCCTGATTTTATTGGTGGTTCTATGAAGAACACAAGGTCATTTGCAAATGCTCAGGCCTTGTATTCTTCATTTTTAATTATTAATTTTTAATTCTTTTAATTTTTAATTCTTAATTCTTAATCTCCATATTCTGTCTAATTTTTTTCAACAAAGTTTCCAAAATTGTGATAAAGAGCAGAGGTGAAAGTGGACATCCTTGCCTAATTCCCTTTTCTACTTCAAATGAATTAGTCATTCCTCCATTAATTATAACCCGGGCTTCTTGGCTTGAATATATTGACTCTAACATTTTTTCAAATTTATCCCTGAATTTCATTTTCTTTACTTGTTGTCTCATAAATTCCCAATTTACTTTGTCAAAGGGTTTTTGAACATCCAGAAAAACAAGTGTAGCCCGTTTTTCTGGATGAGCCTCATAGTATTCCAGGATATCTAGTACGGTTCTTGTATTGTTTTTAAGTTGTCTTGTTGGAAGAAAACCATTTTGATCAGTATGTATATATCTACTTATCTACTTTTTAGTCTCTCAGCCATTAAATTCATAAATATTTTATAGTCAGAGTTCAACAAAGAAATAGGTCTATAGTTGTTTATGTGGGTGATATCTGCGCCCTTCTTCAGAATTAATATGATGTACGTTTCTCTCCATGACCTTGGTAGCTTGGTAGCTCTGCCCCTCTAAGCATTTCATTATAGATTTCTAAAAGAATTGGGTCAAGAATTTTGCCTAAGTTTTTATATAACTCTGCAGGTAAACCATCTGTTCCAGGAGTTTTGTTGTTGTTTTGTTTACTAATTGCTTCTTTTATTTCCTTTATAGTAGTCTCTTTATTTAGTCTTTCCCTTTCTTCTTCTGATAGTATTGGAATATTTTCTTCCTCTAAATGCTGTTTCATTCTCTCTTTACTCATATTTTCTTGTTTATAGAGTTCACGAAAATACTCCAATACTATTTCTTTTTTCTTTTCCATATTGTTTTGTAGCTTTTCCTCCTTATCTTGCAATCTCTGTTATCCATCTCTTCTCCTTTTCCTTTCTTAACCTATATGCAAGCCATCTTTCTGGCTTATTTGCCTTTTTGAAATAATTTTGCTTTACTGCTTTCAATGCTCTTAAATTTCTTTCCTGTTCTAATATATTCAATTTATGTTTAGCTAAATTCCATTTATTTATAATTCACTCATTTTCTGGTGCTAATTGTGCTTCCATTTTTCTATTATCATTTTGTAACTTATTGCTTTCTTTTTCTCTTTCTTTTTTCTTTCTTGCATTATAAGCAATTGTTATTCCTCTTAGAAAGGCTTTCATTGTATCCCACAGATTCTGCAAAGAGGTGTGTTCTTTTTTATTTACATCAAAAAACATTTCTAATTCTTTTTTAAATTTTACTATATATTCTTTATCTCTCAGTGTCTGTGGGTTCAACGTCCACCTTCCTCTTTGTTTTGATTGACCTTTCCATATTACTATAATGGGGTTGTGATCTGCCCACATATTTGGTGCTATTTCTATTCGTACTATGTCTTTCATTAGGGTTTTGCTTATCCATGTCATGTCCATTCTTGACCACGATTTGTGGGGAATCGAATAAAAGGTGAACTGCTTTTCTTTTGGATTGTATATCCTCCATATATCACTTAGGTTCTGTTCTTCTATCATGTTAAAAATGTTTTTGGGAGTGTAGTTCTCTTTTTCTTTTTCTTTTACTGGTACTTTGATAATCTTTTAATATCCGAGACTGTGTTGAAATCCCCTATTATGCAAATTTCTTTGCAGAATTTTTTCATGTAATTTTTTGTAGTACGTTTCTTGTTGTTTGTTGGGTGCGTAAATTGCAACTAATAGAATTTTCTTCTGTTCCCACACTACTTCTAATATTCGTGTTTTCCCTACCACATCTGTGTATAATACTTCTACTTCTACTCCTTCTCTAACATATGCTACTACTCCTCTTTTTTTCTCTCCTCTAATGCTGCATATAGCTGATTCTAGTTTTTCTCTGCTACTATTGAGTTCCTCTGTGCCTGATAGTTGTGCGTGGAATTCTTTTTCTTTCTCCAATGTGTTGATCTTGACTTTCTTCTCTTGCCATGACACCAACATTCCCTTTGGTGTAATCCACCTAAACAATATATTATTTTTGTTGATTCGGGTGGCCAGAAAGTGATAATCTTTCCTTTGTTCTTGAACTTTTTTCGGGATCTATTTTAATGTTAGGATCTCTTTACCTTTATATGTCATAGGTCCCTCTCTAGTAATCTTGTAAATTATGTCCCTCACCTTTTTCCAAGCAAAACAACTGTGAACCTCCTTTGGTAGTCTGAATCTTCTGGCGTAATTTGTATAGACTTGGTAGACTTCGTCTAATTCATTGATTATCTCACTCTTCTCTCTTTGAAGTGCTTCTGCAATAGTCTCTGCCATTATGTCTGTCAGGTCTTCCTCCTTCATCTCTGCCACATTCTGGAAACGTAAGTAGAATGAGGCCCTCTCCATCTTCAACTGGATCAGTGAGTTCTTTACTTCTTTGTGTCTTTCTTGCATTCTTTGGTCCACCCGCTCTAATTTTCTTTCTGTTTTTTCCATACTTTTTTCAATCATTTGGAGTCTTTGTTCATTCTTTTGTAGAACTTCTTGAATCTGGCCAACTTTCTCATTGAATATCCTTTCTCATTTCTCTCTTCACCTCCTCCATCTCTGTTTTCATTTCTCCATGGTTCTTAGTCATGTTTTCCTGTAATTTCATCATCATCTCCTGAATTGTTAACAGTGTAGTTTGCATGGTCTGTGTATTCATTGTAGCTGTTGTTTTCTCCATTGTGAGCATCCCTTCAATGGATCTTTGTGTAGATGGCGATGAGATCGCTGTGGCTGTTGTTGGGGTGGGTTTCTTCCCGGTCTTCACTACTGTTGTTGTAATGCTTGTCATTTCATGAATTAATTTGGTTTGTTTCCTAATATTCTTTCTATCTCATCTCACAACACCATTCAATGCTCACTATTTTTCTAGATTCTGCCACAGTCCTTATTCTTCCCTGTAATCTGCCCTCCTATGACTTCTATTGAATCTTAAATAAGTCAAGAACTTTCATAAATTAATTAATCTGTACAGTTATAACAACCAATCCCAAAATCCAAAGTTATTTATATTAATTCCTTACCACTATATTACTTTTTAATATTCTTATATATTTCTATTTATTTTTACCTTAAAATTTTATATTACTTTAATGCAATTAATATTAAACTATTTAAACAATTAGTTACTTAACAGTTAAACTTATCTAAATAGATTCTTATTGCTAATAATCAATTTAAATATATTAATTTACTATACTTATTTTACAGCACATTTAATAGTAATAAGGATTTACTAATATCAGCTAACCATACAATTCCCAGGATAATTCAATCAATAAGTTTCTTAGAAAATTAAGTTCTTAAGTTCTTTAACTCATATTATAGTATATAGCACTTAAACAGTCATTTTTCTCTATTTATAAATATTCTTCTTTGCACTCTATTAGCCATATAAATCATTCAATATATATTCAAGTATTTAGATATTTTAACTTCTAATATAACCACTAAGGAAAAAGAGAGGAAAGGTGAAGAGAAGAGAGGAGAAGCAAATAGAAACATAGTTTAGTCACAGTACTTTCAAATATACAAACAAAATTTCTAATAATCACAACTTTCCTTTTGTTATCCACAAAGGTTATTCTATGTGTTTTACTTCTAGATATTAAACATTTAAACCATTAGTTAATTGATAGTTTCACATATACAGTTACCTATCTCCAACAGTTAAAATAATTTTATAAATTAATGGTTCTATGTTCCAATATATCTTTAGTAACAATTATACTTTACTAAGAAGTACAAGTAAACAATATCTTTAAAGTCTAATCAATATATAATTATATATACCTAAATATTTAAGAATTTTTATCACAAGATGCCACTAAATATCAAACGTTAAAAAAGAAGAAAACAAAGAAAAGAAAAGATCAACCACAATATTCTTATATGTATTATAATCACAGATAACAATTAATTTTAGATTTGGAAGTTCCACTCAGATTGCTTAAGCCTTACTATAATATTAGTGGCTGTAGACTTGAAGAGTTAATTTTAACTTTCCACTTCAAAATGTCCGACTCTCCAAATTCTGCACTGTCACAGTCAATCTACTTCTTTAGCCTTTATATCTGCTTCTTTGTATCTTTTGTTACGATGATCAAGGAAACTCAAAGAAAGTTCACTTCTCTGTTTCAATCAGTTCACTTTCACCTTCTCTTTCAAATCACAGTCAAATCACAGTCAGTCAATTACTTTCCCTTCTTTGTTCTTTTCTTCTCTGTTGCTCGCAACACTATTCAGCCTTTCCCTTTTTTGCTCACCTTGCTATTAGCTCTATCCGTGTGCCACTTAGAGCTTTCTCCTTCCTGTCTCTCTCTGGGTTCACTCTTTCTTCAGCACTTTTCACAAATCAAACACCTCCACTCACACAATTTTTAACACACTGTTCTCTCTCTTCGCTTACCTTTTCTATCTTGTGAGATGACCGGTCTCCATGTCGGCCATTGACAGCCGACACTTCAGCTCTGGCTTGAGGGCTCCTCCATTCGCTTTGCTAAGGATCGCACCTTCCCGCTGTAGCTCCGAAAGTTCCCCTCTTCCTCATCAATCCCCCCAGGACTGATTTTCGCCTCGGACAGGCACTGGACTACTGAATTTCAGCAACGAGGGGCAGAGTGCTATCACCCCGTGCTACTTCGAACCATGTCACACCGGAAGTCCCCAAGCTTTTTTTTAATGTAGGCAAGAATTTAGCACAGCTGTTCAATAATACCAATGATGTTGTAGGATTCTTATAGTCTAGTAGAACAGATTTTCCTATCCACAGAGATTTTTCCTTACATTTATTTGCAAATTACAAAAAACTAATAAATTTCTGTAGAAAAGGAGGTTTCCTCCAAAAACAGTTTGAGAAATACGGCCCTGCTGATCTAGACTCTGTCCCTATCCACTATTTTCCATCTCTCTCTTGCACCTTAATCACAATCAATTTAATTCATTTAAAATTATCCACATTGACTCATGTTTGTCTGCAATATAGTTAGCTTTGCTCGAAGAGCAGCATTTGACCTTTAAGAAACTAGCTAGTGATGAAGATAATTACCCTATTTTGCCTGACTTATAAAGTAAACCATATAAAGCTAATTTTTCCTGTTGTTTGTAATTATGCACAGTAGGTTTTAAAAAAGAAGTAATAATAAATTACTACTAAATGCTCCCTAGGTCCAGAAAATATAACAATGGGAAGAAATTACAGCAACGTTAAATTACTGATCATAATGTTATGTCATTTCATTTTTCTTTGTTCTGTTACCTGAGACATTTGAATTTTGCCTCTAATAAGGAAGAAAGCAAGGAAGAAAGAAAGGCTGAATAAGGAAAACATCTTTCTTTTCTTCACAGATGCAGATGAGAACTGTTTACACACACACACACACACACGCACACACACACACACACACACACACACACCTTTATAGTCTCATATGACATTGCAAACATTGGTGTTAAATAAAAATAACTTGCAGAAAATGGTACTACTATTAATAATAATTATTATTATTACAGTAATTAGTTACACAGCTGCTATAGTGGATGGGATTCAAACAGAACTAAAAGTCTTGAATAGCAAAACCAGAAAAATAAGTACAATGAATCATGCCTTCATCCACTCGGCAATGTTGACAGACTCCACTTATCAAAGAAAATAGGTGGGCATGGAATGTAGCAAGTACATTAGATGTTTAGAGAAGATAAAAGGGCATTGGAAGAATATCTGAAGGATAGTGGAGAAGATGCACTGAAGCTAGTATACCAGGAAGGCTTATTGTGTAATGGAGAAATCAAACTAGCTTACAAGAAAGACCAGATAAAGCATAGAAAAGAGATATGGCAAGGAAAAACATTTAATGGTCAGTACATTAAAAAAAAAAATAGCACAGAAAGCAGACAATAACAAGACTTAGAAAAGGCTAAGGACAGGAAAATTAAAGAAAGAAATAGAGGGGCTAATTCACAAGAAGAAGCTTTAAGAACAAAGACAGAATTGAGATGACAGCAACTGACAGTAAATGCTGTCTCTGCAAAGAAGCTGAAGAAACAATGGACCACCTAGTTAGCTGTTGCAAGAAAACCACACAGATTGACTACAAATAATGGCATGCCAAAGAAGCAACAATGGTACATTGCAAGAACTGCAAGAAGTACCTTTTGTATGCGAGCAGGAACTGGTAGGAACATAAAGAAATAAAAAGTAATAGAAAATAAAGAAGCTAAAAAGTACTTAAGAATTCAATTTAAGGACTGTAGAATTCAAACAGTCACCTGGCACGTAATACCCTAAACTATTGATATGAAAGACAAAAGAGTCTGAATAGTTGATGTTACCTGTACCTATAGACCGGGGTGTCAAACTTGTGTTGTCATGTTGTCTTTAAGTGATGTATTGTGATTTCCCCCCCTTTGCTAAACTGGGGTGAGTGTGGCCAGTGTGTGATGCATCTGGCCCATGGGCCATGAGTTTGACACCCCTTCTATAGACAACAGAATGGCCATATTCTATAATGATTGACAGAAGATCCTGATGTTATTTTTTGTTTTCATTTTATTATAGCTCATTTTACAGATTTTCTAAATGCTCAAGCTTTTTTTAAAAAAAAAAAGTTTTTCCTTTGATTTTTCTGTGACCTGTCTCTCTTCTAAAACATTTTGTGGAATTTTTAAATTTTTCAAAATGTTTTTCAAGCATTTTTTTGCCTTGACCTATAAAAATATTGTATGCTGTGTTCCTACATATACTGTATAAAGAATTTAACTCCAATAAGAACTTTCTATTAGTGTTGTGGAACATAAAAGGCTTAGATATCCTTTCACAAGTGTATTCTTTAGTATATTATTAAAATTACAGTCATGATATTCTCACCCAAAAATGGTTTTTTCACATATATTAAGTAGATGTTCTAATAAACTTTTTACTTTGGTTGTGGAATATATAATTATGACTGGATAATTTAACCATATATTAAAATTAAGCATTAAAATAAATAATTAAAAGGCTGTGATTTTTAAATATTGTATAACAATAAGATTCAGAAGGGTAATCTTTTTGGCCTACTTTATTGGATAAACAGAAGATATTTTGAGTACAACAGTGAGTGAATTTTAATATTTTGTGGAAATTTGTAAAAACTGAAATTCTATTTATTGCTTGAATTTTTTAGCATAATCAAAAACATTCTGTGCAATGAAAATTTTAACATATTTATGACAAGAACTTTGTACTTTATATTTTAATTAATGTACTGTTTATAAATTGTGACTAGCACGAGTGAATTTCATTTATTGTTTTTAGAGTCCATTAGAATTCACTCGGACAAAACCTGTTAAAAGAAAACACTTTATCCATTTTTAATTTAATAAGCATGAAACTTTATTTTTTATTTATTTATCAGCATTAGTCATTTATTTCCTTTGAATGATTATTCCTTTCAATTCTGTGAAGCAGATCTAACAGCTGAATGAATATTTACTCTAATTATTATTCTTTAATTTTAATATTACTACAACAAATTAACCTAGTTGGTATATAAAGAAAATGTACTTTCCCTCGAGTTTCAGGTTTATTTTGGGCACAAATACTTTGATTCTTTTCTTTTTGCTTTGAAGGATGTTATTGAATCAAAACAAATGCTTGCAATAAGATTCAGAGAGAAATAGAGTTAAAGAACTACATCACCAAAAGAATATAAAAACAATCTGTAACTCTTACGCAGTTTAATCTCATTTTTTTCCTTCAAAATAACCATTTGATAATTTAATGGGATAGATCTGTAATTCTTGTCATACATCTTACTTTCGTGCAGTTTACACCATTTTAATAATTTGTTTTGTTTTGATTATAGTTCAAATTCTGTGAAAAATTGGAATTCTTGTCTGCATCACTTGGGAATGTTCTTTAATTATAGTAGATCTCTCTCATCTTTCATATAAGCATGTTGTGAAACATTATACATAGTATATAATGCTTTGAAGAAACACCAATTATGTGCAGTGTTGATTTCCTGTTATATAGAGTATGCAGAAATGGTTTGAATTATTTATATTTCCTATAATATGTCCATTATGTTGGGCTTAGAATATATTTTCAGAAGATCTCTCAGGAAAACAATATTTACAGGCCTAGCTTGCTTCCAGGATTCCAGTGCAGGTGAAGCAAATTTTTTCCTTATGCCTACCCACCCATACATCACTTGCTTGAACCAAGCAAGGTAATTTCTATCGCCTTAATTATTCCATCACTTACTTTTTAAAACTAGTACATTATATTTTGCTTTACTACCATAGAAGTCCAGATAGTGGTTATGGGATTCCAGGCAGCCTCTTGACATACTGCATAAGACCTGCTTGACTAAACGAAACTCAGAATCATCTCAAGTAGCCTTTTGTTTCATATCTTTTTCCTCTAAAGTGAAGAAGGCAGCTTTCCCCAGTGGTGGGATTCAAAAATTTGAACTACCAGTTCTGTGGGTGTGGCTTCGTGGGCATGGCAGGGAAAGGATACTGCAAAATCTCCATTCCCTCCCCACTCCTGGGGGAAGGTTACTGCAAAATCCCATTTCCTCCCCACCCAACTAACCTGTTCTTTCAGCTCTGTTCTCCTGTGCAGAGCAACAAAAAAGACCCAGCCAATCAGCCTGGGACTCAGAAGGCAGAGAATAGCTGGGGGCACGGACAGTCAGAGGTGGTATTTGCCAGTTCTCTGAACTACTCAAAATTTCCACTACTGGTTCTCCAGAACTGGTCAGAACCTGCTGAATACCACCTCTGACTTTTTCCCAGCCTTACTATATCAGGGTAGAAATACTTCAGTGCAGGGTTAATAGTTTAATAGTTTTGCAAATGTGGAACTATAAGAATAATATACAGTTAGATATGGTGAAATATTGAATAAAAAGGTGAACTTAAATCTATACAAAAATTAGAGGAACAAGGTATAAAGATGAATTGTTTTTCATATGCACAAATACATTCAAGGCATGATAAAGACTCTAAAACAGAAGGTTTCTACGATAAACTGACTGATTTAGATAAGATTTTGACAGGTACTGATGAAAAGGTGATTAAAAAATTGTATGGATATTTATTAGAAATTAAACTAGAAGAAGAGCAAGTTAAAGAAACAATGATTGCTTGGGAGAAGAATTTTGGATATGGGATTGATCTAGAGAAATGGCAAAAATTGTGGTCTCAAAATTATAAAATGACAATGTCAACAGCATATAAAGAAAATTTGTATAAGATGTTTTACAGGTGGCATTTTCCCCTGACAAAAATAGCAAGAATGTTCAAGAACAAATCTGAAAAATGTTGGAAATGTCATCAGACACCTGGCTCATATTACCATATGTGGTGGACTTGTGTGGATGCTAAAAAATATTGGACTAAAATCCACACGTGGTTGGAAAAAATGACAAAAAAGCATATAGATTTGAAACCAGAGATATTTTTATTGGGAATTTTACCTGAAATATATAGTTAAGACTTGAAATACCTGATTGTAAATGTATTAACAGTGGCTAGAATTGTATTTGCTAAAAACTGGAAAAATGAGAAAATACCATCACAGGAGGAAATCATTAAGAAAATATTGGAATGTGCTGAAATGAGTAGATTGACATTTGAAATCAGAGAACAAGATGTTAAACAATTTTATAAAATTTGGGATCTATTCTATCAATGGTTAGACAATAAAACATGGTAGTGAAATATGTAGATTCTTAGAAAATAATAAATTTATAAAGATGTATTCTTTTCTTATTATAGTTACAAAATGATTGTAGGATAGATTTGAGATGATAATATGAACTGTCATAAAACAAATTAAGTAAATTATGATTATTTTGTAAAACATGAATGAATAAAAGTATAGTCAAATGATTGATTAACAATGATATCAATATATTTAATACTTGATTGAAAATATGAGAATATATACAATGTAATTGTAATTGAAGACTACAAAATGGAAGCACAAAACAATTCGTAAACCAACCGGCACACTGTATGTATATATATGGAAGATGGCTTGATGTTTTGTCTATGTTTGTCTTAAAAACCAATAAAAATAAAAAAAGAAAGAATAATATACAGTATTTTATTAAAGAAATCAGTGTGATTTAGCTGAAGGAGGGATCCTTGCTTTTGATCCCCAGTTATAATTAAAAGTTTTTAACTCAATGAGAAAGCTGTTGGGAAAACAAGAAAAAACTAAGAAGAATGATGCAGGCAAATATTCAACAGAACAGACACAATGGAAATCTATGCAGAGGCTTTTGTTTTTGAAGTTTAATCTGACTATCTCTATACATGAACAGACACATAGGATATTTGGTTTGGCCATGAGAGATGATTCTGAAACATGTAGAATGCAAATGCAACCTTTGTTTGGCACATCTTCTCTGTTTTTAAGAGAAGTGATCAACATTGAGAATTCTGCTTTTGTAGTTTCTTAAAATACCCTGATGGAAAATATATATATTTGTCACATGGCACATAGCCCACCCTCTGATGCTCATTTTCAAACTAAATTGTTTTGTTCTGCACAACCTATTGTTTCCTTCTTTTCATTTGTGTTCAAAACAAACAATACCGCATTTAGAGAAGTGGTATTTTTAACTGGAAAAAATCAACCTCAAATGTGCTTTAGGGCATTGTGCAATGTACATCTTGCTCTCCATCTACAGATGTTTCTTCTGAATTTGCATTAGCTTTCCTCACATCCTGCTTTTCAAGATACTGAGAATTAACAAGTTGCCTCTTCAAAGGTGTAGAATGGGAATGATATTGCACAACTGATCCTCAGGGCAGAAGGATACCTTCTATTGCTTTGGCAGTGCCTGACCAAAGTTATAATGAAATCATTGCTTTTTCACCCTACTGGCAAGGACATAGAACATTTCCAATTTACATGCTTTAGATTAAATCTGTGTAGACATTACTTCAGGCTTTCGGAAAAAAAACGTTGTAGGGGAGGGCAAAAAAGGGAGGAAGACAAACTGCTCTTTGTTCCTGACAATTAACTTAAGTTATTTGATTCTTCAGCATCAATAGAGATGGGGTTTTGTTAGAAGACAAAAATGATGATGAATTCTCCTTACTTGATAATGAAAATATTTTGTTCTACACTGGTTTAAAATGATACTTTAAAACACAAGTGCATACAACTTTTCAGCCCAAACCTGATCTTGGTTTCTGACCTTGGTCAGAATTCCAAAAACAAACACAAGAAGATGAAGATTTCAGGATAACCATTTTAAGTACAAACATGGATTCAAGTAATCTAAAGTTATATAAAATTAAAAATTGTAAATAATACTGTACATGTATATGTCCGAAATACTAAAAAATACAATTTGATACCAAGTAAGACTTTTTGGGGTATACACATAAAGATTTCTAAATGAAACAATGCAGTGGAGGCCTACTGGCAAATTCTTGTTGCATTTTTAGAACAACCTCCAAAACATCTAACTGATTCCAGTAATTCAGAGGTGTCAAATTCAAGGTCCATGGGGTGTTTAGATCTGGCCTATGGGGACTCCCTGGAAACAGCGAAGGACTGCCCCTCAGTGCCTCCGCCAGCAAAAATAGAGCAAGGGAGGGCCCCACAGAGCTCTGTTTTCACTGGCAGAGGGATGATGGAAGCTATTGTGACTAAAACCAGGCTTGTAGCGACATGTATGGGCCACCATACATGGTGGGCAGAGGGCTGCAGGAGGCTGTTGTGGCTGAAAACAGAGAGCCCATTTTCGCTGACAGAACACTCAGGCCTCCACTGGAAGTCCCAATATGAGTGACATCAAGCTGGCCATGTCCACCATGGCCATGCCCACCTCAGGCCCCGAGGTCAAATACAACCATGATGCAGTCTTCAGTGAAATTGAGTTTGAAACCCCGGCAGTAATTCATTACACAGTTATATTCTAGGTCACATTTTCTTTTGCTACCTTTAAGTGATCCTCCAGTGTAACAGTGCTACTGTTGGGCTCCAACCACAATAATATTAACCTTGGAGCCCACCAACATTGAGGGTGATGACAGGATCTGATCCTCCCTGCTGCCCTGCACTACACCATCAACTGAGAGGCAGCGAACACATGGGGAATCCCCAGAAGAAGATGACATTGTTGTAACAATGGGGATCCCTTGTTCGCAATCGGCAGCACCAGGCACAATTCATCTCGTGATTGAAGCTTTCCCATCTTGCAAACATGGGGTGGAGACATGGAGATTAGAGAGGGGTCGGGGCTAGATAAGGTAGAGTGGAGAGAGTGAATGAGAGTGAGTAGGAAGGATAGGGCTATGATAAACTGGGAAAGATAAATAAAGGTGATAATTAGAACAGGGCGGGATGCAGGAGTTAGCCATGATTAGGTGGGCATGGTTACACTATAAACAGCACTGGAAGGCAGACCTAAATCGGATATTGGCCATTCTTGCCGGATGGGATGTTTGTTGCTTGTAAATTAAACTACTTCAAACCTTGCTGTTTGTTGGCTTGTATCTACAAATCTGAGTGTGTCTAGAAAACCGGCTGAGAGTTACCATATTAGAACAATTCATGAATGCCCAATTTTTTATTGATGACAACTGTGACAAAAAGCTGCCACATCTATTTCATTAAGCCCATGTCGTCATTGTCTTCTTTAATTCAGGTGAAATCAACCAGCCAAAAAATGCTATATAATAGGATTACATGTCCAGCCAACTACTGCAGGATGAGCAACTGAGCCAGATGTCATTTTAACAATTTCCCAAGATTGATTGATTAATTGATTGATAAAATTGATTGGTTGCCCATCTTACCTCAGGCAACTCTGGGTGGCTTATAATCATAAAAGATAAAAGCAGTATAAATTAAAACATAAATAAATTAATACACAAACACACATTGTGGTCCAATTAAAGATGGGAAGGGTGGGAGCAGGATGGAGTGGGGGATGGATCTGATGTTAATCTAACACTGCGATGCTCCCCAATTGGAGAAGTATGGAGCTACTTAATCAGAGATCACCTTTCGTGGCACATGGCCAATGAGGTCCTTCAAAGCAATGGAGTAAACTTATTTATGTTCCACTACCCTTATAGGCCCAAAAGTGTGTGTGTGTGTGTGTGTGTGTGTCCATCTTTTACCCCATTCATTTAGGTTAAAATCTTTGAGGATTTAGTTCTATGAATTTAGATTTGGATTTGCATTCATGTATATTCAACCTCATTGGTGGTAATGAAAGAATATGATCATATATATTCTTTCAGCAGATTTTTCTTAAAAATTTGTAGAAGTAGAACAGGTATGTATAGCAAAGTTAGGGCAGGAAAAGATAACTGCACTTAGCAAATTGGGTCTGTGCCAGTGTTAATGAATTTTTTGGATTATTTTTTATATGAAAATGTGTAATTTTCTCGTAAACACAATGAAAAAAACTTGGGAGACAATACTTGAGAATGCAAAATGATCAGTTTCATTAATCTATAGTTGTTTCTAATGAATACTTCCATTCCCTTATCTCTATTCTAACTTTTCCTTTGGTAAGAGCCTCAATGGATCCGTATTCTAACTTTATAAAATCCTATGCTATACAGAATGTAATGAATCTTGGACTCTTTGAATCTGATCCAACTATTCCAAGAAGATTCAGCAATAGAGATTGTAGCCATTCATCTTTAAAATTAACTGGGTCATACAATATTATTATCGCAAAGTTCATCTGTAAATTGGGAAATTTCAGTAAAACATTTTGTAAGATTATTTCAGTTGACAGTTGCCATATGGGGGCAAACCTACTGCCAGATTCCTGCCATTTCTTACATGAGGACCCTAACTCCTATAGTTCTTTTTCTTCATTGGTAATACATTTAGTGTACTAAATTGAGGGGGATGTTTGTTTATTCTGTCTTTATGTGAGTGATTTATTAAAAATTCATACTACATCTTCCGAGTGAAAGAAATGCTATAAAATATATATTTTTTCTGAACACTATGAAATTAATCCAACTTTTAGGGTCCCTGGACAAGATCTATAAAAGCTAACTAAATAAGATGTGGATGGAGAAAAAAAGTTGCCCATATTTATAAGCATGCAGAGATGTAATGAGACAGATTTGATTGTCAGACTAAATAGTTCTGATGCATTTCTTTTGATCAAGGCAGATCATTACAATTTACTTTAGCAAAAAGAATTATATATATAAACAATATCTTTGACAAAGTAAATTGAGATTTGTGATACTCTCTCTTTGTGAAATCTTCAAATTTAGATGTAATTGTTTTGAGTCTGAAGACAAGTAGTTTTATAGTTTTAAATCTGTATATTTAAGCCAACAGACCAAAAACTTACATGCAAAAAGGTCCATGTTGTCATCACAATTCATGAAAACATAGAGAAATCATAACATTCTGTCAGGGCTTACTCTTGTAATAGGGATTTTAATATCTTAAAATAAATAGCACATTGGAAACATGCAGTCATTTTTTCTCTCACTCTTTTACATCATATAATTTCCCCTCTTGCTGGGTTGCTTTTAGAGTATCAAGTTAAGTCAATCTTTAAAAAGGAATGTTTCAGGTTTTGTCTTGGATATCATCTAGGATATGTGTACTAGCATTATCTCTAAATGAAAGAAGCTGAGAAGGATAGTTAGGAGAAGGAGAATGAAGAGGAGCCAAAGAAAAGAAGTCCTGAAAGGTCAAGTTTGTTATGGATCATCATGTGTGATGCTAAGAGTCAATTGACATGATTGCACCTAATCATTCAAATGCCTATGTACTCCAGTCTTGCAAATACTGTAGCTATATTGCATGAAAACCTATAAGAATGCAAAGGATAAACAAGGAATGGCTGGGTTTGCTCTTAACTCTCATGATCGAGTCAACTCATTTCTGAAAAAGAAGGAAAATGGCTAGCTTCACAGGTATGAGATGACATGGAAACTCCCCCAGCCATGCTGTTTCAATGAATAATGATATCAGTCTTTATATTTTTAAAATAAGACACTGAAGGACTGTCAAGAAACTCATTTTAGTTATTCTATGGGATAAAAAAATTATAACATTATTGTGAACCATATAAAAAGACATAATTTTAGAAAATCAAAAGTATTTTTATGTTTTCATTGTTGATTAATTATGCTACATCCATTTTTCCTCAATCTCAAAGTGTATCTTTAAAAATAATGAATCATTTTAATTTATGACCAATAAAATATAGGTTCAAAACTTCACTTTCCTGTTTAATGCATTAGTGAGTTTCTGTGAGTTATAACACTTGAATCTAAAATATTTTTGTTGAAATCCCAGTGTATTCCTAAACTTCTTGGGTGGTATGAGAAAATATTCAATGTTAGTTCCACTTTTATAAAATGAAAATGAACATTCATATTTCCATGATTAACTAGTTATTTTTTTGAAAAAAAAAAGCAATTCAAAATTGTCCATTATTAATGATAATAGCAATACATTTTCAAACTGAAGCAAAATCTAAGTAACAGAGCAATTATTCTAGGTGGTATAAACATTAAGAAGGTTAAACTATAATACTATAGCTTACTGATTTAAACTGAAACATTTGACTAGTTGAACATTTTGAGATTTTTGCATAACGTATGTATCTTTCAGTTATCAATGCTTACATGTCCAGAAATATTAAATATTAGCTGTCTAATACAGTTTTAAAATTGCAATTATTCATTTAGCGATAATTTAGAATCTGTATCTTTTGTCTCCATGTTGATATTCTTATAGTCATTAAAATATTAATTCAGACCGTTTTAAAGAAAAAAATGCTGTGGATTAAAATATGTTCTACTTACAACTTGGACAGTTTTTCTCCAAAAACATTTTTGGAAAATACTATAAATTTTTATACCATGTGAATGAATAAAATGAAGAAGAGATTAAAGTTCTTCAGCCTATTATTATAATACCACAACAACTTATTTCTGTTGAGTATTTTGCTTGCTGAATTGCCAAGTTTGTCCCAGATCAAATTCTGTGGTTAGAGACCTCATTCCCCCCCCCCCACAGCACCACACACACACACACACACACATGAAACGTTGCTATAGAGAAATGATTAAGATAATGTATATAGTTTCTTGTATATGTTTTAGTACAATGCATTCTAATACATTCTAATCTGTGGGATGTAGGCAATACTATATTGGTTTTTGAGGAAGCACATAGATTACAGTTGTTAGCTTGCATAGATTGGGAGCAGTAAATTTTTATATCTGTAACATGATTCAGATGTTAGAATCTTGTTTCAACTCATAATGGAAAACTAGCGTGCTGTGTGTAAACATTCAATTGATATTTTAGTTGATTTTTTTTGTGGGAGGAACTCATGGTCAACATGGAACCTATACATTTTTGATTTTTTGTTTGACCTCATAATGAATGGTATTTTTTAGTGTTTTGCTTGAGAAAATCGATTCTCATACCTCACAAACATTTTGCGTAATGTCAAGGAGTATTTAGTCATATGGAAATATATCTAAGCTTGATTATAAAAAAGAATGCCCTCATGCATTGTTTCTCACTTACATAGTCACTTGCACATATTATCACCCAGTCACTAACATTTCTCATTGCTTAGACTTTTCCTCTTTGAATGAGCCAAATTATTTGCTTTCACCTTCTTTTATATTGTGCCATGCTTGTCTATTCTACACGTGCTTCTGATTTTCAGCCAGATTGGAACCGAAATAAGATTTCCTGCCAAAGTTTTGCTGACTCAAGAGTTTTCAGTAAACTCTAAATAAACAGCTAAATTTGATGGGTGTCTCTTGCATCAATGTTACTCATTAATGCATCACCTCTTTCTGCCTGTTCCAGAAATGGAGTTCATGATACTTTGCTGCTGTTTTGTTTTGTAAAACACGTTCATGTCACAAATGGTTACTCTTCAGTTTTGATGTGGGTTTTGCTATAATGTTACTGTCAGTGTTCCAAGTAACAACCTCCAAAGAAAGAGACTCTGAGAATATCATCTTCCCAAAGATCCACTTTATTAGAGATGTCATACTGGCACACCTGGGGAAAACCCAAATCTGAGAGTTCTGGGTTTTCCCTAACCCAAAGAAAACCCAAAATCCAACCCCTGCACCCAAACGTTCACCACATTGTCCAATGCTCACTTCGTTCCAATTGGAGACTACCCCAGTCACTCCACTCCAGGTGCAGAGTAACATGTGCTTGACTTTCTGAGAAAGGAATGTTGTTGAGGCTAATCTTTCACCACTCCTTGAAATCCCCCCTCCCAAATTCCCAGACACTGAATGTGGCAGCCCAGAAGCCTCAAAAAAAAAAAAAATGGCTTCCAAGCTGACATTTACTTGAAATTAAGGCCATAGTATCACTCTTATAGAGGTGGGACAATAATAGAAGCAATGTAGACTGAGATAAATGACAGGCAGATGGTCATATGGACAGCTTTTTCAGCTCTTGAGAGAAATCTAGGACAGAAATGCAATAATAATTAAATGAAATATAGTTTAGTATTTTAGTATAAGAGGGATGATTAGTGTTCAGGGTTTTTAATCTGAGTAGTATTGTGAGTATAAAAGCCAGATATTTAACTAAATATTAAAATAATGGGGTAGCTCTAAACATATGAATAATTTCCTTAAAGAACTAAAATGAAACAGTTTGATTAATATAGTTTGCTTATTTAATGATTTCAAATATCTGGTTCATGACAGAAAATGAGAGTGGATCTGCATCTGGCAAGAGAGATTAAGCAGTTTTAGTTTAAATTTTTTTGTCCTTGAAAAATCAATGACAGAACTAGAAGCCCGTTGATAAATTCATTAGTACTGTATTCAATTATACTGAATGTGTTTTCAAGGAGGTGCTGTCAGTCAAAAGTGTAAATCAAAAATAATCCATACTATTTATAATAATTGGAATAGCAGATGACATTACATCTCTTTAGTGCCAAATTTTACTTCCATTAGACAACTAAAATCTGCAGTCCAGAATTTCATTTGTATTGATATAACACCAATAAATGTCTAGTAACTATAACAGTATCTGGAAGGCAATGATTAAATAAGATTTGAGCAAAAAGTATTAAAGAACATTTATTTAAAATTATTTGGAACATCTGAATGTTTCTAATCTTATTTGATGCTTAGTTTGAATTATTTGTATGGCCATAGAGATATAGATGCATATACATCTCAGAAATGCATATACATCTCAGCTTTCTTCTAGATCAGAGGTCTCATTCTCGCGGCCCGTGGGCCAATTGTGGCCCTCGGGATGATATCCTGTGGCCCCCATCGTGATATGAAAGTATAATGTTAGTGTATAATATAAATATAAAGTATAATATAAAGTATAATATTATGCGGCCCAGCCTCACCTAGACTCTGCCTCCAGCGGCCCCCAGGTAAATTGTGTTTGAAACCCTGTTCTAGATGGTGTATGTTGTGATCTAAAGAGGGTTGGGAGGCAGGGATAAACTGATCTACTGTGTGATCAGCACTCATGCATATCACACAACTACCTTGCTATGTTGTTGTTTCAAATCTAGTTTATCAATCAAGGCATTTAAATTATGGAAAAGGAATACATTTTTTCATGTTCTTCTTCATAGTACTTGCATTTTTCAGCATTAGAATATGTGAATACACAAGTCTCAAGAGCATATATGTGAAACCAAATGTCCATATAATTTAGCAACATGTAAGCAAATTGTGGAAAAACAGTAAAACGCATTGACTATATCTTATTTAGTTAATGCAACCGAGATCCTGTTCCTGTCTTTGGAATATGATCACAGTGAAAAGCTTCAGTGAGGACTTGTGGTATTGCATGTATAATTTTATGGTTGTTTGCTATGACAACTAACAAATTGGAGGTTACCCCAATTTTTGTATTAGGAGAGCAAATTGCTCATTCTGCCCTTCTCCAACTCAATAATAAGAAACGAAAGATAACGACTGCTCCAACACTCGAAGTTTTTAAGACTAGACTGAACAACCATTTGTCTGAAATAGGACCTCCTGCCCGAGCAGGGGCTCAGACTAGAGGACTCCCAACCCTTTCATCTCTGTAATTCTGTTAATGAACTTCATTCAAGTTTCATTGTAATATATGTTTGCTCATTTTCCTCCTTTTTCATCATGGAATGAAGCAGTTATTTTTGGAAATTTATAAATTCTTAAATGAAACAGGCATTCAAAGATATGTGGAATAGTGCACAGTGGCAACAATATAAAAATGCATTAGGACAACATTAGTATGGGCTGGGTAGACACAAGTTCAAATTCATTGAGCGATGTTATGACAGGCATTCATG